CGGGAAAGTGCACGCCCTCCTGCCTGGGGAGACCCCACCAGCGGCAGTACTCGTGAAGAAATACCCGGGAGCCCTGCCGGGTGCTCTGCTGGAAGGGAGGAGCCAGAGAAGATCATTCCGCCGGTTCCAGGACCTGAGCCAGCAACAGGTGAGCAAAGCAGATGTGAAGTTAACTTGAGGGACAAGCTCTCTGAGCGTCTGTGTGACAGGCAGGTAGGAATATAGGTGTCCTTGCTGGTTAGAGGTCTTGCATTCATTGGGCAGGCTGCTAAGGGAATAGTCACCACCCCCAGCAGAGGCACGCCCCTGCGCGCCCCCCCTCCCCCCCCCAACCCCAGTGCCGAACAGACTTTGCTTCCTGTATTGTAGACCCCTGGCTCGATTGCCTGAGTCTGTAGGTGCTCTGTCTGTCACACTGGGGTGGGGTGGGCGGTACGGTCCTATTAACCTGGAACTCCATGTCTGCTAGGTCCCTGCTGCTCTGAAATGATAAAGGAATTTAGCAGGTGCGTGTGTTCACATGGCTTAGGCCTTTTCTCTAGAGCCATCCAAGACGGTGGTGAAATAGAGTGTTTCGTTTACATGCCTGAAACTCCTTCCCCCATCTGTCTGTGTTCTGAACAAATTGAGAGTCAGAGTGGTTTCATGAATAACTAGCTGTAAGTATCGGTCTAAGCCGATGGCCTCACATCCCACATGGTGATATTAGGTCATCCGTGGGGGGCGGGGGGGGGCACCCCCTCCTCTTCCTGCTCTAGGACCAGACCTCCCATCCCATGGCCTGTGGCTTTTGGGCAGCAGTCTGGGAATGCAGGCCGCTGCACGGTGCAGGCATAGGATGCAGGATTTCCGCCCCAGCCCAGTCGGCTGAGCTGCTGTCACAGGGCAGACGTGGTGTCTGCTTATCTTGGTGAAGCAGCTGCAGCGAGCTGATTGCTCACACAGCCGCCTGCTCCATGTCCACAGAGCAGAGCACCCCCACTGCACAGGGCAGACCAGCTCTCTGAATAAAACTTCTCCCTGGGAGTTGGCCGGAGCTGAAACTGGAGCCAGGCTCCGTGCTACTCCCGAAACCTGTCAAGGTCAGTTCGATTCGCTTTGATACCACCACCTGTCAGCAGGTATAGACAGAGGACCTGTCTCCATGTTTGGCCCCAGGCTGTTGTAGGTAAGACCTAGCCGGTTTTGTTTTTGTTGTTTGACTGTGTTTTTGATGTTTTTTCTTCATTTTTGAAAATCCCTTTAAGTGCAGTACGAGTTAAGCGTGTGGGGGTGGGGTGTGTAAAGAAATGAACAAACAGAACACGAAAAGGCGTTGCTTAGGAAATAGAGCAGTGCAAACACAATTGTCATTTCCCCGAAGAAGCATTGTTAATCATTTATAACCTTTTTTTTTTTTTTTAATTCAGCTGAGGTATTTAAGAAACGTTCAGTAGTATTTTTTGGCGACTTTAGGATGTTAGTTTTATTGATGTTTTGTATTGTTAGTGGGAGAAACTTGTTGGCTGCTCTCTCAGAATTTCAGTGAGGAGGTCTCTACTCTTTAAAATAAGGCACAAAAACAAGTCTATTTTGGGGGCGCGGCAGGTTGACATTTGGGAGGAAGGGGAACGGCTGTAAGCTGATGCCTGGCCGGGTTCCTTTCCTTTGGGTGCAGCGCCTTGGGCCACATGCGCTGGAATGATTCCTCTTCCTGGCTCAGTGAGACTTAACACAAGGCAATGTGAACTATAGGAGCTTTGTGTCTGTAGTGCCCTCAGAAAGGTAGAAACCAGGGAGGATTTCAGACCTTGATATTTATCAGCACCTAAATATAGAAAAGATCTTCAAGTTTTAGGAAGGAAAATGCGATGAATGCCAGTTCAACGCTATCTCTGGGTTTGGGGTTGTTGGTTGATCTGTGTGGGCGAGTTACTTGTTCAGTTACCAAGAGGAGTCATATGTGCTCAGTGCTCATGGTCTCAAATTACAGAGAGAAGTGGCCAGTGATAAAAATCTGTGCTTTCTTCAGAAAAATAGCCCGGATTGGGGAAAGCCCCTGGTCACATTGCCCTGGAAAAAAAGCCCCGAGTGTGATCTCAGAGCAAAAGGGTTTTTTTTCTAGGAAGTTCATATTCCATTCATGAGCATAACCAGCCTGTTTCATGAGTGCAGGGACATGAGTTTACCTGCTGATTTGGAAGGAGCCCCAGGGCCCTGGCTTCTGTTTTGTTATTTGCTGCTGTGGATGAAGCCAAATAGAAATTGAAATGGGGAAAACACACAGCTTCTGGGTAGAAAGAGGGGGTGAGCCCTTCCCCCAAGAGCATTGGTCTCAGGGCTGTGGGAACCTGGTTGTACACGAGTGAGCCAGGCCAGTCAAGTGTCAGTAATCAGTGTTTACCGTTGGGACTGCCCAATGCTTGCCAAAAATCCGTATTATCAGTTGATGGGCATAGGATAGCAAGGTCATGCCAAAAATCACATCCCCCAAATAAATAAAATAAAACTCAACAACAGTAAAAAACCTACTCTGGTTCACCTTGAAATGTCTTGGTCAAGGAATGCTTCTAAGGGCATGGCTTAGTTAGATTTTTTAATTTAATCACATTTTTGAAATATAGGACTGAGTTTGGTTCTTTGGATTTCCTTGCCTGTTTTTAAATTGCTAGTAAGATTATGTAATTGATTTATCCCCGTCTGACACTGGCCTCCCATTTAAATTAATTCGAAGACAGTTTCCTGTGATGCCAGCATTTGCAATGACTATTGATAAGTCACAAGGACAAACTCTAGACAGAGTAGGAATATTCCTACCTGAACCCGTTTTCTGACATGGTCAGTTATATGTTGCTTTCTCTCGAGTTCAAAGAGCGTGTGATGTTAAAGTTAAAGTTGTACATACTTCATCACAAGGGAAATTAGTCAAGTGCTCTGAAAGTGTTTTTACTCTAAATGTGGTATACAGGGAGATATTAGAATGAGTTTAATCAATTTATCAGTCATTGTTTTTATCAATGTATTTATATCATGTTTTTGTTGCTTCTATATCATGTCTTTGTTACATCAAGTTGTTATTGCTTATTAATCAATTTATATATTATTTTTATATACATTTTACTAATTTTTTTTCATCTCTGACACTTGTATTAGAAAGGGCGAATAGCAATATTAAAATATTTCTTCTAATTAATCTCCTTTCAATGTGCATGGATCCGTGCACCGAGCCACTAGTTTTAATATAGTCTGTTCTTCGGTGAAAGAAGCCTCTCTGCCCTTTGGTGTAGGGAGCAGTTCTCTGTGCCAGAGCAGTGGCATGACTAGATTAATAACAACCGCAGGAAGTTTTCCAGGTGAAATTGAGATGACCGTTCCATTTGTGTTTGGATTATCAAGGTGAATTTTGACTGTTCGGTCATCAGTCCCCTTCAAAGAAGTGCCAAAGCCTAAATTTGCTTCAGCCGTTTTAGCACGTCCTTCCTGTGTTTGCTTACCCGTACGGTGACCAGGTAACCACTGTTGTTTGGTCTGTGTTGAGCATAATTCTAAGAAGACTTTTTCTTAAAAAAGGAAAACTTTTTCTTAAAAAAGGAATTGCTAGTTTGTGATTATGTCTAGGTTTGGGAAGAAACAAAAGTTAAAACAATAACTTACTAGAACAGTTAGTGTTACCATTTGCAGTTCTGGGTAAATGAGTGTATGTAGTGTTTTTTATTTTTAAAAAATATTTTTATTGATTTTAGACAGGAAGGGGAAGGGAGAGATAAGTAGATGAGAGAGAATCATGGATCGGCTGCCTCCTGCATGCCCACACTGGGGATCGAGCCCGCAACCTGGGCCTGTGCTCTGACCGAGAATCAACCATGACCTCCTGGTTCATAGGTCGACGCTCAACCACTGAGCCATTCTGGTCAGGCTGTATGTAGTATTTTTAAAGAAAGACTCTTCTCAAAGGCTTTACCTCAGTGCTTTCTTTTTTGTCCTGTACACATGCAAGCATCTCTTGCGTCTTGGATGATGGTCAAGATGGACCGCCTAGCTTCACCTGTTAATCTGTTACCTTGGAGCATATGTAAGTCAGCACCACACTCAGATTTGTCATGAAAAGTCAGTGGTGAAAATGGAAGTTCAATAAACATTGAATTGGACCTTCCCTTACCTACAAACCCTTACGAAAGCCAGAGAAAACCATGCAGCCATGTAATAAAGGAATAGCTCAGCATAGGGTCAGAAATGACACCAACTCCCGAAAGTAAAAGAATACTTTTCCATGTAGCCCCAAAGCAAAAACACAAAAACACAAAAACACATGAAACCCGGAGCATGTTGTGTCAATAGTAAGGCGCAGGAATCAATGTTCCAAATGCACTTTGTAACCCTCGTGTTCTCTTCAGAAATGCCAGACACCAAGGCTGACGATGAGGTGGATTTTCTGAGGAATCCCAGGCAGAGTTCCGTTTCTGAAGAGGCGGCTGGAGGCGACACGGCTGCGCCTTCGGGGACGAGACAAGGCCTGAAGACGCAGACGGTGAGTGGCCTCCGATCTTCACCAGCACAAACTGTGTTTCGCGTGGCCTGGCGGGCCTGATTTACGGCCTTGTTTTTTTGTTTTGGGGAGTGTTTTTTCCTTTCTCTCGTTCCATGACATGTAACCGTGGCTGTGCAGTTAAGCTTTCATAAATGGCCACAGGGCAGAGTTGTGTAATGGGCCTTTCCGAGTGGATCCCTTGGAGATGGTAATGGAAAAGATTTTATTTTCCCTGTGAACACAAGACCTTTCAGTTTGTCATCAAGTTTAATGGGTCACCAAATGAGAATCACCAAAGGGATGCTAGCCCTTTTAAACCTGACTCTTTCCTTTTCTTTTTCTTTTTTTTAAATATTTTATTGATTTTTACAGAGAGGAAGGGAGAGAGATAGAGACTCAGAAACATCGATGAGAGAGAAACACCGATCAGCTGCCTCCTGCACATCTCCCACTGGGGATGGGCCCGCAACCAAGGTACATGCCCTTGACCGGAATCGAACCTGGGACCCTTGAGTCCGCAGGCCGATGCTCCATCCACTGAGCCAAAGCGGCTATGGCTCCTTTTTTTTATGTAGAAACTGATAGCAGCAGAAATGAGATTTTAACTTAGAGCTCAGTATTATCTGTCTGCAATATGAAGTATGTCATTTTTAGTGATGAAAAAAATGGTT